CGGGGACACCAGAAATGGGCTTCACATATTGTATCCAAGAGGGGAATCGAATCCGGGTCTTCGGCCTGAGGAGTGAACGTTTTACCCTCTTAGCTACCCCACCGTCCCAATTCGTGTTTCAGAAAATGCAAAGAGACACGGGTCTTGGAAGGAAGCCGAGAGCAGCGATATGGTGCAAGCAAACATTGAAAACGTCATCGTGGCGAATCTGGGATTTGAACTCACCAAACCTGTAGTGTCGTGAGCTATAACAAACAGAACGCCTCTGTGACCAAATATGTAGACGAAGTGGTCACAACGCTGATAACAAAAACGAGGACGGCATTACGGGGATGTTGAAAGTGATAAGTTCAAGAGATGACACATCTAATGGAATCCTCAAAGAAACCGGAGTCCATTTGAAAAAATGACAATGCATTAACTTTGTGCAGATAGTCTTAATGCAATTCGTCCGCGGGCATTGGAACCTGCAACTTGTAGAGTTGGGAAGGACGGTTGAAGTGAAGAATATTGATGATAATATTCTCAGAAGCCCAAGGCTGACAACTGATATTAATGAGACATTTCACATCCAATTTCGCAAATATTCAAATTCAGTCGAGCAGATGCTATCCCGAATCGGCCAATAATCTAGTCCATTAAATATATCGGCAAATCATCTGTGTCAACAAATGCATCTTAAAGTTGAAATTCTATTAAGATGTAATTTACTTTACCAGTAATTTTATCAAAACATTCCTTGAAATAGTTCGTCTTTATAATCGGGCCTTACCTTTTTATAATGCTACGGTTCTTAAAGAGAATTCCTTGAAGAGAACCATGCTGTGTGTAAGGAGTGTGTTCATGATTTTGAAGAGATGGAATTATCGGAAGAGTGCTGACAATACTGTAACTGAACCCATTTCACATCATCCACTAACACGAGAGGGTCCAGGGGGAGAAACGAGGGTCTCATTACTTTCTGTTCATGCAAATTGAAAACAAAATACATAACGTTATTCATTCTTCCGTAGATTTCATTAAAAACAAAATCATCTTTTACTCAAATTATCAGTTCGCGGAACATATTTCATTTAATGCTTCGTATGTTTTTACCGAAAAGTCTCATAAATATAAATAAGTTTTTCAGGCTCATGAGTTTCACAACCAAAATGAAATATTGAAACGCGTTTGTGCTGTGGAAACACAATGTCTGTTAAACGACTAGAAATTGTATTTTTTCAATACTCGTGACAACGTGAAATTTACAACCGGAGTTTAATGCATATTGACTGATAAATACCTTAATGCATGTTCACACACGCAACGGGATTATCAACAACGTTTGATTCTTGCACAAACACGAGCCTTATCGATAGCCTCATGTGCGCATGTCAGCTAGCTGGGATTAACTCGGTTTACAGTTCGTTGATAAAAACCAAATCTCGTTGGCTGGTAAAATAGTATTCGCAATCTCTCAGAAAATGAGGCTGTGGTTTGACCCCTAGAGAATACTTGATCAGAGTCGCAAGATACATTGACAACGTTTAACGTCTCCTCGGAGAGTCCCTTTAAGTGAGTGAAATTGTCAACATTAGATCCATCAATGATAAAGCGACATGTAATTCACACATGAAAACCATCGCTACAGATAATAAAAGTCAAGATAAATCTGAGGCTTCATCAATATCCGACAATCGTTTGTCAGAATCCACGCCCCTGACAAATCGAGAGCCGTAAGTCACACTGTCAATGAATAATCCAAGAATCACGAAACATACATTCTAATTCATAAACCTCAAACTGAACAAAGCATCTACTGACTTGGAAATCTTTAGTTTAGAACCCATCCTAATATCGAACAACGTAATATTCTTCAATAAATCACTCTAACAACATCGACACTCGTTTCAAGGAACCGTTTATATAATGATTAACAATAATCAAGTCATGGAAAGACACCTAGTCTGTCTCACAGTCCCTGAACCACAATATTTTCCATTCTGCCTAGCCCTCCTTGCAATGCCAAAGCCCTAAATGAAGCAATGGTCTCTGAATCTCTGGTCTCCCTCGGGCTCCTTTTCATTTTAAATGGGTTTGTTTGTTACTACCAAAATTATATATATTCAGAGACTAATCGTTAGTCTAGGACCCACCACACAGACTAAATTCTGCATCAGTACAAATAATATTTAAATCCAAACGCACCTTAAATACATAACATCTTCTAAAAAGATCTTTTTTACAAGTATTAATAAATTACTGTTCATTTTCATCACCTATGTTTGTGAAAACACCATTACGTTTCTCCATGATAAATATAGCCCCTGGTGTGATAACCGTTGTAGTTGCGCCCATAAATAAACATAACTCTTGTCATTGTCTACGAAAACGATGACGGCAAACTCAATCATTTAGCAATCCGGCGCTGCGTCAACCCTTATCATGAAGATCAGAGACAGAAACGCATCCAGCAGTATCCAAAATAAGCATCCAAAGACGTCAGCACACCTGTGCTAAATATACACGCCGTGACGTGCCCATTATAGGATGAGCATGGGGGTATTGCACAAAAAGATGCACGTCTAAAATTAGTAACTTACATATGGGAAAATTACGATAACCTCCGTATTCACGTAATATGCAACTTTTTCGAAACCTGTCAAGCTTAGAACATTCCAACAGATCTATTATAAGTAGCAGATGTGCAGTGCACTCGTCTTTATGGTTGCTGAAATGCTTTAGCTGTGGTTATATTCGCCAAGGGGCAGATAACTATTACCAACTGCTTGATGTAATATGAGTACTTTGGCACATATGCACCTGCATTGATGTTTTTTTCCCAAAAGAATGCTTTGCATTTGCTGAGAGTTCTACTTTAGATGCACATGCAAAACCTATCACAGAAACCAGTTCTCGTTGAGAGAAATCGGTCTGTTCACTTTCGTCATTCAGTCAAACCTGATCTAGCCATAGCTGTTGTTTATTACAGAAGGGTCCAACGCGGAAAGCTGCGGAAAGACCAACAAAAGCACCAACATTTACATGTTTACATCAATAACGATGTTCCCATGCTGTTATTCCTCTACGGATTTTTCTCAAGAGACATTCCGAAAATAAAACGCTACAATTTGATTATCAAAAACAAGATTCTCACTACCGCCTGGAATAAGACCCTTGTTTTTGTACGGGTGAAGGTGAAAACCCACTCGCGGCTGGAATTCTTTCATTTGGACGAGTACGATCGTTTTACGAAGTGAATTATTAAGATTGGCTGTAAGGAGATACGATGAGATAAGATTTTCCATTTAATTTGCTCATGGCACGTAACGTGAGTCATAACCTAGCATGATTTATTATCAACCGTTATTACTTCCAAACAGTGTCAATATATTTAATAAAAATATCATACATATTTAAACCCGTTGAAGGTCAGGAGTGGTAGCGTACTGGCCCTAACTCGGCATATTTCATCAGTTAACGTTGTTGTCATATGCCTTCAAATTTCGTCAGTTCGGATATATTAGAATGTATTAGAATTACATGTGCAATCACTATTCAGACAAACTATTCAGACAACACTGTTTACAATTACTGCGGACCTGCTGCGTATGGGTTGAAATTATGAAACTGGAAACGACCAAGAAAGTTAAACGTGCTGACGGAATTAAATGTAAAGCTCGTGAAAATGAAATAAAACATGACCAACAATATACCAGCTCATTAAAACGGAAATGAATTTCCAGTCCGACAAAAGTTCAGCACAAGATACGAAGAAGTAACTACCCTTAAACCCTTAACAAACGTGAAAACAAATTGGTTAACCACAGACCACTGTGAAAAGAGATGCGACGTTCTAAGCCCGATGTTGAGATCCACCCTGCTGATACTTCTCGTCACTCACTGAATACATTTGATCATATCCAACGGACTTGCTCGTACGATGCGATATCAACAGATCGCTTTCATGTCCACTGATGTCAATTGTTAATTAGCACTTCACCTTACCGCACAATACCCACAGAATTAGTCAACGAGGCGTGAACGGCTAAAATCAAAGGGATTTACCTCTAATAACAACTACCCTCTTCAGGTATTGTTCGAGGTTATTTAATAGAGCGAAAGTCAAGCCTGGACTTAATTATAGGTGGCATAGCGCTTAAGCTGGGTGATTAGAAGTGTCAGATGGAGATTAAACCCTGTTCCGATTTTACATGAACTTAACGAGAGTACTTACTTAATATATAAAGGTTCATTACGAAGGCAACTGACTCGGGTTTGACAGATAATTAATCCAAGGTTTAATTTATTCAATCCTTGTCTATCCTCGTAGAGGGTTCACATCAAGGGCATACTTTGTGACATGAATGATAAGAGTGCGATGTTTATTATGATATTGATACTTAACCAGTACATAATTCAAGTTCATATACGTTAAATGTAATTAAGTTTCGACCTTCAGGCATCTCATTTGAAGTTGAAGATAACACCTACATACAATGCATACTCACGCCATAGCTGTGATTAATATTGATGCGGTCGGTGATACAATACCATCTGAAAGCTGTCTGATGTTATAACATACGGTGAAAGCATGCATTAGTGACGCGGGGTTGAATAACGAGACAAATCTGTATGAGAAGTCAATAACAGAGGCATCCCACAGACGCCTCGGTTTATATTAATGACAGATGGGATGCTTTCGCAAGTCGAATGGAATCCATCTCACCTGTAGCGTAAACACGTGTTGGGCAACGACCATGTGTTTCTAAATATCACTGTTTACAGAGTTTTGGTAAGTTAACTTGTATGAACAGTCAGCAAAATTATCGGAATGCATGAATATTGTCAAACGTTTATCACACGGAATGACGGTAACGGTTTCATCAAAGTTGACAGCCGTGTACTGTATACCCGATTGCACAAGCATACCCCAATGTGGGCCATTGAGAAAGGTGGGACACCATCAGCTAATACACAAATGTCACGCAATTAGTTCAGGAAAGTTAAACGATACTTACATCCGAGAATTCACCTGGTTTGCAGTACATCCGAATGAGGGAAGTTTTCCCACAGTTACAATCACCAACAACGACAATTTTCGATCTCACTAAAGTCACTTCTGACTCGCTGTCCGGGCTTGTTGGGACACTCATAGTTTCCTTCGTCGGGGTTGGGCTTCTCGCCGAGTCCCCTTTCAAAGGCATAAACACAAACTCGGAGCAAGCCTTGTCCTTCATTGGTACTGAGCGTTTAGAATCCGTCTTGATGTAATAATCCGGACCGAAGCTTGAGACGGAATTCTACTCCCTTCCTCGTCTGTGACCCATCAACACACACCCCTTCTAGTTTCTGACAAGACTGCACCCATTCACTAATCGGCGAAGCATGGAAGGCCAGCTAACTCACTGTCGACTGTGTACACAGTGCGAGTCGGAGTACTGTCACGTGCTCCTGCTGAATGGGATATCACGTGGTACAGCGCAACCAGCCAATGGGCGTCGGCAACACTCCCTCAGCGTAGCGATGAGGAGACGACATGGGAAAGTCCACCTCATTGACAGACGAAACCTGTTTGAGTTTACAGTCGCTAAGCAGTTATCTACCTTTACATCAACCACACCGCGCAGTAACCATGCGGAATGTTGAAGTATCCGAGTTCATTGTATAGCAATCCATTCCTTGAGAACCCGTGGAGACCGACGAACAAAACTTTGACCCAAGACATTTTCAACAAAGCTCGTAGCAGCGAGTATATAGCGAGTATACAATGTACGCTGCATGGAGCATAATGGTTATGCGTAACGGTATCGGAGTGGTTTATCAACCAGACGAGGTGTACAGAAGTTTATGTTGCCCACGGGTTGCTGTTACTTGGCTCCCAAGTGCTCGGGGCTATTTTCACAGTTGGGAGGAATAAGGATAGTGAATGCCGCACATTGAATTACGCACCGGGGATCCACGGAATTTTAAACCATCTGGTTTTTATACGAGTTGAAAATTTTTGCAGAGTCTTTAAAGATTATTTTACAAGGGAAGGATAACTTTTGACGTTTTTATTACAGTAGGTTTATCAAGCTGATTGGATGGCGATGAAATGTTTGGTTGTAAAATGGGATATCCCGCTGTGATCCCATTTACCGTCTCAATAACGCTGCACAACCACTGCTAGATTTACCTACAGCATTTAAGATATTTTAATGCTTTAAGCGATTGCTTGCTTGAGTATTCGATAATAATATACAGAAGCAGAACTCCAGCGGATTGCTGGATATTATACAATTGCAGTAGTATTGATTGTTATTCAACGAAGATGATAGGTGAAGTGAATTCACATCTGCAATAAGTTCAAGCTGGGTGCTGGTGGGTAAAAAACTTGTTCAAGATTTACGCAAATGGAACTGTGCTTAAAACACTCACTGACCCGCTAGGACAGACTCATTCTGGTAAATTGTTTCAAACGAAAAATACAGAAGTAATATATTCCCCTATGACTGTTGTACAAATCGAATTCAAATGATTATCTATAAGACTCGTTCAATCATTCTAAGACGCAATAAGATAAGTTTTCCGCGCAGACCTTTGAGACATGATCGTACATTCACGTCAACTTGCCGTGATGGCGCAGTTTTAGAGCACAATTCCAAGCACAACTGTTTTATTCAAATGGCACGAATTTAAAACAAATATTGAACATGCCAGATCTATACGTAAAGTATAGGTATTCAAGTTGAGAATAAACCCCCCTATCCCAAGAGCCTTCATTATATAAAATGTACCCTAAAGATGAAAATTCCAGGCAAAAGAATTATTTTAGTTGGTTGGATGGTTTGTTGTTTAACGCCGCACTCAGCAGTAATGAAGCTATATGGCGTCGGTCTGTAAATAAGCGGGTCTGGACCAGACAATTCGGTGATCAACAGCATGAGCATCAAAATACGCAATTGGAATACGATGACATGTGTCAACCAAGTCAGCGAGCCTGCCCACCCGATCCCATTAGTCGCATCTTACAACAAGCATGGGTTACTGAAGACCACCCATGTATCACAATGGTTTCATAGTCAGCACACAAACAGTGTTATTCCATAATGATGTATTTGATACGAATAGCAAAGTTGTGGTTTGACCGTAACGACTGGAGTGTGTCGGCAACTGTTCGGTCAAATCCAGTTAATAATGATAATGTAATCATGTTGAAAGTTGTATAGCGCCTGAATCCAAGGTTTACTCTAACTAGGCGCTTGATCGAATGTTCTGTTGAAAAGAACTGTTTTAAGTTCTTTATAGAATGGAGTTTTTTGACAAGTTTTTCAAATTTACAGGTAGCTGGTTCTATAACATAGGAACCATGGTTTTTTACCAGGCATGATGTCACCCACTCACTCACTCTCACACACACACACACACACACACTCACTCACTCACTCACTCATACACACGCTACTGATCCATAACAATTCTCCTAGGAACACAAATATCACATATATGTGAACGTGACTGCACAATTATGATGTTTCATTCAATACAGTATGTATTTTGAGAAACACAGGACCTTTCTAGGAAAAGATCAACATTTCTTTCACTATCAATTACTAAGAATTACTCAATACTAAAAGTCTTTATACCACTAATCGGCTTACAGTCAGGCTGGATTACCATCTTTAATACGCTGTATGTCACGGTAATCCGATAGGAATACCACAGGTGTCATTATAACAGGAACCGTATCTGCGTGAAATTGCATTTGTATAGTCGGTGTGGGAGAGCTTAGACTCCTGACCGATACGCAATCATCTGGCCTTGTGTCACGCAGCTTTCGGTCTATTACAACAGAGTGATGCTAATTAGTAAGAATTTGTACGATTCATATTTCTGTCGGGTAATTAATTCTCTATGGGCGCGTTATATTGTCAGAAAATAGCCTTGATTTTAAATGATGGATTTGGAGAAAGGATTTGACATGATTTAAATGTAAATTGTCACGTTAATTTAGTAAGTATTGTTTCGTAATGGAATTACCGTATTTCTTGATTAATGATGAATGGTAAAAATGAAGGATTGTAAGTATCCTCAAGGCTTACACTTACCGAAATTAAACTGTAATAGAGATCGTTGTAGAATTTCTAAATCGAATGTGTTACTAAAATATGTATGTTTATCGGATAGGTTTAATTAAATTTCATAATCTGATTTTAAAGAATGGTATACATTCCCCAATACACGCAGCGTGAATGTAACACACACATCGGATTGTGGACCTTAATTACTGCTTTGCCTTGCTCCAATGCTGAGCCCATGAATGTATAGTAATGCTATCCTTCGAATTCTAGATAAGTGGACCCCAGTCTGTTATTTAGTATTTTTTAGAAAGTATTATTTAAACTATTAATTTTTACCATTGTGTAAGTCTACTTTTTGCCATATAATTCTCACTGGTATTTGGCGAAAGATAAGGACTCACACTTTGGGATTCTGGTCCTGATGAGAAGAGTTGCGTACCCTCTTCGCGCCAGGATCCGCTTATTGTCCTCACAAATGTTGCAAATTCTACAAACTGAATTACATTGATATTTTGTCCCGACCCAGTGTTATGTAGTTGGAATACTGTAAAAATGCTTTAAACACCGCTCTAAATATGACAGTATATTTCTCATTACTACCTCATTTTACATTTTTCTGACTTCTTGTGGACATGTAATTTAATTAGTATGATACACGATCGAACGATGCCTGTGTTTTTGTTCTCGGGGAAGTGCAAAAATGTAACTTTGACGTAAGAAGCGATAGGTTTGACGAATCTGCCTTTCTCATCGTATTGTCAGCTATAAATAAAACTGAAAGTTTTAAGAACATGCGTACTGGCTGAAAACGCATTAACTGTGAATATGAGCTTGTGATAACGTTCACGGATCTCAACCATTCATTAATGCCGAACGCGAACCGACCTGAATTTTAAACAGGAAGAAAGTCCATGAGTTTTTCTGCGAGTGTTTTTATTCCAAACTAACAGCGTGCGGCGAACTTCCTCTTGCGACGGCGAGTTTTCTAGAATCTAGTTTCTCAGGATTGCGTATGTGCCTCGACGCTATTTAAGTACATGACGAAATTTATATGTATGTAGACATATGTCAAGTGAGAGGAATGTAGTCAGTATATCAGCTACCCACCGACGACATCCAGAAGAGAGTGGCTTGATTTTATAACAACTGAGGGTGTCGTCTTGCTTCACGACAGGTCAGGGGCGGTGGGGTAGCCTGGTAGTTAAAGCGTTCGCTCGTCACGCCGAAGACCCGGGTTCGATTCCCCACATGGGTGCAATATGTGAAGCCCATTCCTGGTGACCCCCGCCATGATATTGCTGGAATATTGCTAAAAGTTACCTTTACTCTCATCTCTAAGACACATTAGTCTGTCAAAACAACGCAACGCAATGCGTTCAGATACCACATAAAGCGACATTATAAAACAATGCAAAATACGTGTAATTCGGTCAAATAGAACTATTGTAAATTAAGGAAAAGACCCAAGTTTCCGAGGTCTACAAGCTACTTAAGTCGCTACCGTCCGTTTGCAATTCATATTTTCCGTGTTACCAACACATGTAAAATATCGAAGATCCGGGTTTAGTAGCCCGTGCTTGTTGTAAAAGGCGACTTACAGGATAGTGTTTGTAGCGGTTGTAATATATTCACATTATTGGCAAGATACAGAAAGGATGTTAACATGTCTACAAGATCCGGGTTAGAATAGGTCTTCACTAACCCATGCTTATGGTAAGAGGCTTCTAACGCGATAGGGTGGTCAGGCTCGCTGACCTGGCTGACACATGTCATCGTACCCCAACTGCGTAGATCGATGCTCATGCTGTTGACCACTGGATTGCCGGGTCCATACTCGATTATTAACAGGCCGGCGCCATATAGCTGGAATACTGCTGAGTGCGGCGTTACAACAAACCTATCAACCAACCAACCCCAGCGAGACGCTGATTTTCTACATCTTTGACCTGTTTTCGACAATTGTCTCAGCAATGATTCCAGATGACCAACGGTCAGTATTGAACGCATGGTGAAGACAAGAGCGGCGCTGTTTGTATATACCCATTCTATTACCAACCTCACCTTACTTATTAGCAGACGTGCCAGTCCATGAGGTGAGGTGAAATTGGGTTTAACGTCGTACTTGAGAATATTTCGCTCATATGACGACGTGCATGCGTGTGTATGTGTAGGTGCGGCTGCTTGTACTAGCCCAGACTGAAGCTGGTTTTATAGTGCTAGCCCACTGAGATACCATGCCGCAGTGAAGCATGAATACCCCACTCAGACACATTATACTGACTCCCAGCCGACCAGTCCTTGTTGTACCCATTAATGCCGAGCGCCAGGCAGGGGCCAACAAGTACCATATTTTAACGTTTTTTTGTATGACTTTCCGATCTCCGTGAGT